GAAAATGAAAAGGTGATGCTTTTAGTGGAAATAGGGAAAGAGGAGTCTAAGTTCTGAAGGGTGGATTGGGGGCTATAAGGACAGTAAATGAAGTAATAAGTGTCCTGTGTAGAAAATTCTTTCATTCACCTCTATAATCTGTTCTAGCACTCTAGAAATATCCGTTGGCAAGGGTCTTCATATTCACTGTCCCGTTGATATCTGACTTCATCTCTCATAAGCTTATTCAGACTCATTTCTTCTTTATTCTGAGGGTAGATGAAAGTGATTCAAGGTCATTGTTCTTAATAACTCTCCAAGAATAAAAACTTTTACACAACTTCTGTAATACATCAGTTGCCTGTTACTGGTTGTTTGGATTTATCAATAGATTAGATCATAGAGGGATATTAAGGTCTCTGTGTTCTCTGTTGTATTCATGCCCTGGTGAGTTTAGGCCTAGCTTGTTGCTGCCCAACTCTCTTTTCTCTGCCTGAGATCTATGTGAGAAACAAATTTGAAGAGAAATAAGAGGGAGATAGCAAAGTCCAGCTTAGAGTGAGCAGAGAAATTCTTCCTGCCAAACCACAGGTGCAGTCGCTGTCCGTAACTCTGAGCCCTTCCTCCTCTTTACTTTATTCTTTGTGGTACGGTATTTAGGCTGCCTTCCTTTCTCCCTGCTGTCTTAATGCTTAGGAGGCACTCACGATGCTTTGTAGTACTCTGACTTACTACACTCGATAAACTCTGCAGACTCTTGTGAAGACTTTTGTACGCCGTAAGCAATCATATATTGTCCATCCAGCTTTTTTCTCCCACAGCTCTTGAGTCTTCAAAAAAAAAAAGACCATCTAGATGTTTCCTTCTGCCTCTGCCTGATTTGATGACGGGGACTCCAAAGCTAATGTCCCCTCACTCCACCCCAAGGCTACCCACCAAGACATCTTATCCAAAAGAACAAGTTCTGTTAGGTGTCCTTTAGGGCTATTTTGCTGCAAAAAAATATAGATTAATATATTTCACAACTACTACACGAATAAAATAATAATAAAGGTCCCCCCCCCCTTAAGTTATAAAACCACAAGGACAAAGAATAGGAGAAGGAAGAGATAATACAATAGCAACGAGATTTTGGGATGCTGGAAATCAGGACGGCCAGTGTGAACCGAATCCTAAGCCAGCAGTGGGGGAGGCTGGGCAGCAATGCTGTTTGCACCCCAGAACCCTCAAAAAGCTTAGTCACTGGTGGCATCAGGTACCTTTAGTGGAGGAGGAGGTAAATCTGAAAATAGGAGGACTGATTGAAAATTTATTTAAGAAACAGACTCTCAGATCCTCTCCCCCACCTGCTTCCAGAAAAGGAACTGCCATTTCCCTTTATCAACAGAAGACAGGACACTTATTTTCTGGAGAGTAAAACACGTGGTCTCTGGACTGGTGGACTCCTGGCACAAGAGAGGGCATAGATTTTGAAAAGGGTGGGGAACAAGTGAAACTTTGCACACCGAATGTTAAAACCTCTAGGCTCCTTGTCCAACTCAGCTCTTAAAACTCCGATCTTACGTGCTTTAAGCTGGAGTTTGGAAGATTCATCTCTAGGAAACCCTACCAACCCACAAGAAAAAACTTAAATCAATCAGTCCAATCACATCTCCCTATACTGAAGCTGTAGTTGACAAGTCCTACCCTTTGTGCCCAGAGGGAACTCACTTTAAGTTGCAAATAATGTAAAGTGAGTGTCCCAGTCTTCCATATGAGCAAAAAGTATGCAAGAAGATTGGAAACCTGCCCCTCCAGATGAACAAGTGAATGAATGTCTCTGAGAGTTGAGAGAAGAAATTGTATCCTTGAAAGAAAGAATGATATGTTATTTAAAAAAAGAACCCCTGGAAATTAAAAATATGATAGAAGAAATGAAAAACTTAATAGAAGTAGAGGGCTAAAAGATAAAATTAAGACCACTGCCTGTAAAGTAGAGCAAAAAAAAAAAGAAAAGAAAAAGGTGCTGGAAAATGAGAGGAAAATCAGCGCATCAGCTTAATAATCTGTTAACTGATTAACAGACATTCTAGAAGAGAAAACTGAAAAATCAAGAGGAGAAAATCATCAAAAAAATAATCTGAGAAAATTTCCCAGAGCTGAAGGTCATGAGCTTCTAGATTCAAAGGGTCGAGTGAGGTACCCAACTCAATGGATAAAAATAGCCCCACACAAAGGCACATTATTAATGATACTTCAGAGCACTAAGAAGATGCTAAAAGTTCCAGAAAAGAAACAAAGAAATGGGTCTCCTTCTAAGGACCAGGAGTCATAATTGCAACAATAGAAGCTAGACAATGGACTAAAAGCAACAATGCCTTTAGAGTCTGAAAGGAAATTATTTTCAGTTTAGAATTCTCCTAGCCAAAATTTTACATGTAAAGATAGAAGAAAGACATTTTATGACATGTAAGATCTTACAAAGTTTACTTCCAAAGCATCCTTTTCCAGGAACCTACTGGAAGAAATACTTCACTAAAACAAGGGTGTGAACCAACAAAGAGGAAGACTGAGTTTCCAATTTAAGTCAGGTAAAGAGAATCTTCAGGATGATACGTCTGATCCCATGATGTCAGCCGTTGAGCAAATGGCTGGAAGACAGAGATTACGCACAGGGATATTTTTGAAGGAAGCACAAGAAACTGTTAACAGTGGTTACCTTAGAAGTAAACATGGGAAGGCAGAAAAGTGGCATCTTTCCTTTTTACTTCATATTTTTATGTAATATTCGAATCTTCACTATAGCATGTATTCCTTTGTAATTTTTTTTAAGAAAGAAAATAGGCCCTCTCCAATGGAGCACCTCCAATGACAACAGAATTTTCCTTTTGTTCAGAACTTGCTAATAATTTGAGAAACTTTCCCAGAACTGAAGTTCATGAACTTCAAAGGGCTCAGTAAGGTCCCTAACTCACCTTTTGCTAAGAAATCTTTATATCCTCTAGCCAACCTTCCCAGGTTAATTTAAGCTTATGCTTTCTCACTGTAAGAAAAGAGCTTGGGAGGGAATGTCATTTGGGCAGGGAGAACTTCTCTAAGCTCTCTCCTAGAAGATAAGCCGCGTCCTCCACTTTGGTGTTAGGCTTTTCATACATGTGGGGCCAAGGAAGGTTTCTTCTGGATTTCTGGAGTGCAGCAGTCCTCTTTTTGCAAGGGCCATTCCATAAGAGCTCTCTTTGCTCCAAGACCTTGATTACCAATAATTAATCTCAGATGAAAGATTCAGTGCTACAGGCTTCCTCTGTCTTTGACCTAGAGAACATGCTGTGAATAGTTTGTTTGCTTGCTTGCCAGAGATCTTATCTTGACCCAGAAGAGCTGATAGGATCATAAAACCAGCAGTGATTTTTTTCCTCAGTATTCTTTATCTATAAAATGGGGGGTGTGCTAGCTTAGCCCAGGATAAATGTGAGATTTAATATATGTCAGGAGGGGGAGGGGGGAAAAGGTTGGCTGTCATTTAATAATGGCTGTATTTCATAGTAATAAAATTTAAATAACTCCGTAGTGTGTTCTAATCCCCATGCTTTCTTTGCTCTTTCTCAATGTATTTGGATAAATCACTACAGAGCAACAAGCCAAATGTCCAAACCACCCACTTTCCTATTCCCAGCACATGAATTAGAGGGAGGCCAGCTGAAACCTGGGCCAAGCACTTAGATGACTTGTATGTCTGATTTTTGTTCCATGACACGAAACTCAGAATAAATCAAAAAGGAAAAATTTTTCAGATACCAGCTAATTCACACAAAAATATCTTCAGCCTCCTTAGTCCTTGCACACACGCAAAGCTAATAAACAAACCCGCTCTGAACACAGATGCAAGGATTTGGAGCTTAATCCCTACAGGCACAAACAGATACTCGTGTATAGCAGTCTTACGGAACTTTTAGGCAGTAAAACTCCAGTAAAATCTGAAGAACTTTTTAGGGTCCAGAAGACATTGTGAAAGACTTGGAAAATGAGAGCTTTGAAGAAAGATTATACAAGACAGAATTTGAGCTTAGAAAAGAATGAGTGTGATCAATAAGAAACATGTGGATAGCAAATAAGGATAGAACAAGAGGAAATTATTAATAATATAAATGGTAGAGGAAGCTGTCTGGTTTCAGTGTTAAGAACAAGCTTTCTGACTGTGAAACTTGTTAAACGCAAAAATGAACAGCCAAGGGAATATTGTAGAGCCCAAGCTACAAAGATACAGAGGCTGTAGTAAGTTCACTTAGTACATGAGCAAGGGTTCTCAAATGCAGATGTTTACAGATACAGATGTTTAACAACAGTTTGTCCCCCGATACCACAAATCTGATATTCCAAGCAACTGACAGAGAAAGGAAACTATTCAGCACACATTTGGTACCTCTGCTTGGTCACAGTGCCTTAAGTTTGGTTCATTTACCAGAAGAGCAAAACATGCTGTTTAGCACCAGGGCCTGATCCCAGGTTAGGGTGAACTGTATGAACAGGTGAACAATGAGAAATGATAAGTCAAGGGGGTTCTAGAAAAGAGAAATCTTCTTCCTGGGTCTTGTTACCAGCTATGGAAATTTTTAGAAAAGGGGTGGGGGAATACCTGAAGAAAACATCTAAAAATGAGCAAACATATGGTAATTTTAAGAATGAACAAACATATGATAATTTTAAGAATTTTAGGAGAGGAAATTGGTTTGTATAATTAGATTGATCCAAAAATTATCCTGTTTTTATAATATACCTTTCTGTTATATCTCTGTTAAGGAGATATAACACCTTCCCTTGCCAGATAAAGACAGTCTCTTCCTTTTATAAAAGAACATCACCAAATTACAAGGAAATTCAAGTCACACTTTGAAATACTGGCAAACGCAGGACAAACCCTCAAGCTTTCTTCTTTTGGCCAGTCTATACACTGATGTAGAGCTATTCTTCCATCAGTATGAAAAATTTATTCTTTGCCTTGGCTTCTGTTTTAACTGCTAACCTTTATCTCTCTCGACCTGTAGCTGGGATGAGAGTAGCTCCATCAGCAGTGGGCTCAGCGATGCCTCGGACAACCTCAGCTCGGAAGAATTCAATGCCAGCTCCTCACTCAACTCCCTCCCAACTACTCCCACTGCTTCTCGCAGAAACTCTACAATAGTGGTACGTGAGTTTGCACACACCCAGGCCACCACAGGGCAACCTGGGCACTGCGTGTGTATGACTTGCACATACAAACCTGCCCCATGGCATTGGTTCTCATAGGCCTGTGGCCAAGTTCTTTCAGAGCTGGCAACAAAACAAAACAAAAACAAATGTTAAGGCTACCAAACAGTCACCCAAGACATTAGATGTTGTCTTAGCGTCTATACTTAGTGCCCACATCAATCTGGAGTGACACATGTGAGAGCTCTTCCAACTGGAGAAGAAAAAGAAACCCAGAGATATATATGATAGCTGCTGTCTGGAACGCTAGGTAGAAACCCTGGGTTGACTTAATACTCTGGGATGAGCAAAGCCATGTACTAACCAAAATAAATCCCCGCGGCTATCCATTCCCGCATCCCCACATGAGTGTCTCACTCTGCCTTTTTTTCTTCTCTTTAGCTACGCACAGACTCAGAGAAGCGATCTCTGGCAGAAAGTGGGCTGAGCTGGTTTAGTGAATCAGAGGAGAAGGCCCCCAAAAAGCTAGAGTACGACAGTGGTAGCCTGAAGATGGAACCTGGGACTTCTAAGTGGCGGAGAGAGCGGCCCGAGAGCTGTGATGATTCATCCAAGGGTGGAGAACTGAAAAAGCCCATCAGCCTGGGACACCCTGGTTCCCTGAAGAAGGGCAAGACCCCACCAGTGGCTGTCACCTCCCCCATCACTCACACAGCCCAGAGTGCCCTCAAAGTGGCAGGTGAGCCTGGAGTAAAGGATGGGGCAAGGGCAAAGACCGTTTTCTTTGGTTGCTTCCCTTCTTTATGGTCATTAGTCCATAGGATGGCAGCAAACATTTGCATAGTGCTTTAACATACATTATCTTATCTGGTCTGCAGGACAGTCCCGTGAGTTAGGAAAGATGGGTATTACTATCTTCATTTTACAGACGTGGACATAGAAACTCAAAAGAGTTGGGTAGCTCTGGGTTTCTTTAAAAATAATACATGTTTGTATAAGCCACTGCCTTGCCATGCTCAGGAAACAGTATTTTTACTGGGTGTTCATCTTGGACATTTCACAAAAGATACCACACTCATCTATTTGTTATGTAGGTGCTGTAGTAAAATAGACATCACAGGTACTAAAACAGATACACCTGTTAAAGGAGTGAATGTTGTGTATCGGAGATTTTAAAATTTGGCTTGTGTAAGAATCACAGGGCAGACTGTTAAAAATGCAAATTTCAAGATGCCATTTTCAAAATTCTCATTTATTAGGTCTAGATGGATTCTCTTTAGAATCTGCATTTTAAAAACATCTCCTGATGCCTCTGATTTAGGAACTTCATAAACCAGAGTTTCAATGAAAAAGAAAAGGAACTCAAAGAGGTTGTTAAGTGGCTGGACCAAAATCACACAGCTAATAAGAGGTAGAGGAGAGAGTATGATTTGTTCAGAGACTGGTTTGACCTCCCTTCAAACACTTTCCATTGGTTTCTTTTTTTCCTCTCCCAAGATGGTCAGTCCACGTTCTTATCTTTATAAGATACTTTCTTGACATCCCAGGAAGGTCCTAAGAAAATAAATAAAGTGGCTACAGCAAGAGAATTATAGTGCTCCCAAAGTTGGCCCCTTGAGTAACCTTTAGCCTTAACCAACATCTCCCTCTAGTATCTGGTTACCAGTAGATATGGCCATAGTCTATTCCATTTGCTGCCCCTTCTTTTTTTCTATTCCTTAACCAATTTTTAGATGGATGTTCTTGATCATCTTTATGGTTGCTTCTGCCATTTTAACCAAAATGTACCATCCTACTCTGGGAGCAGGAACAAAAAAAAAAAAAAAAAAACAACAACAAAACAAAATCCTGGCCTCTCCACCCCTCCTACCCAGAGTCCTTCTGGCAAGAAACTTTATCAGCCTAGCTGGTACCTGCTTGCCCATATTTTGGCCTCTAAAATTTAACAATACATTGTGACAAATGTTCCCTTCTCCCGTGGAGGGAAAGAAAAGGATTTTTAAGGTATTGGTCAGTTTCAGCTACTCTTACCTCATTTCCTGCCCTCCTGTAGGCAAACCTGAAGGCAAAGCTACCGACAAGGCTAAGCTTGCAGTGAAGAATACCGGGCTGCAGCGCTCCTCTTCCGATGCCGGCCGGGATCGCCTGAGTGAAGCTAAGAAGCCCCCCTCGGGCATCGCTCGCCCCTCCACCTCAGGGTCCTTTGGCTACAAGAAGCCACCTCCTGCCACAGGCACAGCGACCGTCATGCAGACTGGTGGTTCAGCCACTCTCAGCAAGATCCAGAAGTCCTCGGGCATCCCTGTCAAGCCGGTGAATGGACGCAAGACCAGCTTGGATGTGTCCAACAGCGCAGAGCCGGGATTCCTGGCTCCTGGGGCCCGTTCCAACATCCAGTATCGCAGCCTGCCCCGGCCAGCCAAGTCCAGTTCCATGAGCGTGACCGGTGGGCGGGGCGGACCTCGCCCCGTTAGCAGCAGCATTGACCCCAGTCTCCTCAGCACCAAGCAGGGAGGCCTTACGCCCTCCAGACTGAAGGAGCCTTCCAAGGTAGCCGGTGGGCGGACCACCCCAGCCCCTGTCAATCAGACAGATCGGGAGAAGGAGAAGGCCAAAGCCAAGGCAGTGGCCCTGGACTCCGACAACATCTCCCTGAAGAGCATTGGCTCCCCGGAAAGCACTCCCAAGAACCAAGCAAGCCACCCCCCAGCCACCAAGTTGGCAGAGCTGCCACCAACCCCTCTCAGGTACCCAAACTGGGCAGCTTCCTCCTGTCTGTCTGCTCTGTCATTCTTTCGCATGTCCCTGCCCCCCTTGGACTAGGTGAGGCATGGACTGTCCACTCCTGTCTCTAGGCCTTTGCATGAGTCTTTCCCCGCTGTCCCCTGTATGCCAAGCTTCTTCTCCCTCTTTCAAAACTGTGCTCAAACCTTACCTTGTTTGTACTATTCCCTGATCAGCCCTTAACCCGTCTTCAGCACACGTATGGGTGGTTTTACTATTTATTTACACACATATACCATTTGCATAAATTCGCTTGTGTCTCCCACGTGTATACGCTGTCTCCCTTGTTAAGACTAAAGGTGCCCCAGGTAGGGTTCCGGATTCCCTTCCCCTGCATTTCACAGCAGCATTAGGATAAGCCTCTGCACTTAGCATATAACCAGAAAACAAAACTGGACAAGGATTTCTTTAAGATCCCACCTGCCTCTCTTTTTGTAATTCTGTTATTCTGAATATTTTGTTTTATCTTCACTTCTCTCAGGGCCACAGCTAAGAGCTTTGTCAAGCCACCCTCACTAGCCAATCTAGACAAGGTCAACTCCAACAGTCTGGATCTACCATCGTCCAGCGACACCCACGCTTCAAAGGTCCCAGATCTGCATGCTACAAGCTCAGCAACGGGGGCCCCTCTCCCTTCTTGCTTCACCCCCAGTCCAGCACCTATCCTCAATATTAACTCAGCCAGCTTCTCCCAGGGCCTGGAGCTAATGAGTGGTTTCAGTGTCCCAAAGGAGACCCGCATGTACCCCAAACTCTCAGGCCTGCACAGGAGCATGGAGTCCCTGCAGATGCCAATGAGCCTGCCCAGTGCCTTCCCCAGCAGTGCTCCCATCCCCACGCCACCTGCTGTCTCTGCTGCTCCCCAAGAAGAAGAGACGGAAGAGCTGCCCTGGAGCGGAAGCCCCAGAACTGGGCAGTTGGACAGGTAGGTGGATGGGGACGGAGCTGAGCCTGAGCCTGAGCCTGCCATTAAGCAGTACTGTCCTATATTTTGTTGCCACTTTGTGACTTTTGAAATTTTTTCACATATAATATATTAAGTAATTTCGTTTGCTTCACAACTCCGTGGGGATAGGTAGGATGTTTGCAGTTTTGTTTTTAAATTATTATTCTCACCTTGTAAATGGGGAAACCAGTGCACGAAGAAGTTAAAGGACTTATCCCAGATCTCATGATTAGTTTAACCTGTCACCCAAGCTTTTGCTTCCTGGTCCAGACTCGTTTCTATTATATCACATCCTAGTTTTCACCAACCATAATATGATCTTTTAAGTTCCTAATCAGAGAAAAAACATTTAACATTTCAGATAAATTTCCCAAATGGTAAGCCAAGAAGCAGGCTGTGGCTGTCTCTTTATTTTGTTTATATAGATAAAGGGGCTTATAGTTTGATGTCTTGGGTCCAGGGTCTGCAGCCTTCACATTGATGGTCCCAAACTCCAGTTTCTGAGATGGACCCAGACACTTCTCTCTTTGTTTCCACAGTAATCAGCGAGATCGGAACACTCTTCCCAAGAAAGGGCTCAGGTAACCCTTAAGTGTGTTTTTTCTTCTCTATCCCTGTGGCTTCTGGTCTATATGAAAAATCATAACTTGACCTGTCCCAGGCTCCAGTTGTGAATTTAGTGACCCTTTTAACTGAATCATTTGCATGTGGTCCTGTACAAATACCACCTGGCACCCTGCCCACGCTTAGTACCATGTGAGTCAACTTTTACAGCCAGTGTTCTTTCTCTGGTGACAGAGCAGGAGCAAGTTTGCACATGGGACCCATACACTTACCTGTATCAGCCTGTGTTATCCCAATCCTGGCTGAACTTCATCTCTGTAATTTTCCTCCCTCAAAGTATGGGGAAAAACAGCCTGCCTCGAAGGTCACTCAGATGTGGGCAAGGGGCAGGACATCCCTGGTCCTCCACTCATACGACAGCATTGAGTTGTTCAGTCAGGGGGTGACCCCTGCAACTTGAAAGCTCTCACGTAGAATGCTAACGCTCTGTCCTGAGCTCCAGGGAAGAAGTTCTAATGCCTCCTCCGTCATTTCTGCCCCCCCCAACCCCCAGGAGCCCTCGTGGGAATGCCCGCTGGTCCTTCCACACCCTGCTCATGGTCTGGGAGAGGATGCTGAGTCACCCCTCCTGCTCCCTCCTTAGGCAGCCCTGACTGCTCCCTCTTCTCCTTGTCCTGCTTTCACAGTCTCCAGGCCCTGGCCTAGCTCAGATGTCCTCCACACCAACTCAACCCCTGGCCGCTCTGTGTGGTTGCCCAGACTGAGTCCTTCTGCTGCCTCCTGCAGGTATCAGCTTCAGTCCCAGGAGGAGACCAAGGAGAGGCGACACTCCCACACCATTGGTGGGCTGCCCGAGTCCGACGACCAGTCAGAGCTGCCTTCTCCCCCCGCACTCTCCATGTCCTTGAGCGCGAAGGGCCAGCTCACCAACGTAGGTCAGTGCTTTCAGTCACTCACTGTGGCGTGGGATGAAGCAGGGGTCGCCTTGCAGGGTGAGGCAAGGCAGGTGGGTTTGGGGTTTCATCTCATATTTGACTCACGTCATATTGGGTTGCTTCACAGTGCCTCAGTTTATCCACCCAAAATAATATTGGAGGGAAGTGCTCCAAGATCTTGAACTGAAAAGCTGCCCTTGGGCACAAGTTGTAGCATCCTTACAGCATCAGCGAGTCTGAATGGTGACGTGGAAAAGCCATACACTGAAGCCCGGAGATCAAACCAGTGTAGTGAGCAGGCACCTTGGGCTGCCAGAAAGAAGCCACCACACCCAGAGCTACCAGGGCCAGCTAGTGAAAGGGCAACACCGAAATGCCAGGCTGGTGGGGAGGAAGGAGGGAAAGGTTGTTGATTGCAAAGGATGGGATCTGCCTCCAAACTCCGAGAAGTCCAGATTCCCCGACTGCTCTGGCTGGGCCTGGGCCATCCTAGCCCTGAAGACAGAGCTGACTAAGATGTTTCCTGGCCACACCCTAGCTAAAGCCTGAGGAGAAGGGAAAGCTAGGAAAGACGGAAGTGACTCATGATTCAGAGACAGGGAGGGGAAGAAGCTTCGGGAGAGGGCCCGGCCCTAGCACAGACGCACACTAGCCGGTTCTGGGAAGCGGCAGGCCATGACTGGCCTCATCGGAGCCGCTTTAGGACAGTGCCTGGGATAGGCCTGTCGCTTGCTTGCCGTATCTCCCCAAATCCATCTCTTCTTTCAGCTGAGTGAAAGGGAGCAGTTAATAAAAGACAAGGACCTATAACATGCCCATGCGATGACTGTGGGGAATTTGAGGAAAGACTAGGAATTAGGGTCATTTTGCCCAGGAGGGAAGGGTCACCTGGCCTCCGAAGGGCTGTTAAATGAAGGATGGGACCAGCTCGTTCTCCGTCTCCACGGAGCACCGAGCAAGGAGACGTGCATGTCTGCTGCAGAACGAGGGTCTGGCGAGGGCGGGTCTGGCGAGGGCACGGAGAGGTGTGGAATCTCCCGCACAGGTCCGTACTGACAGATTAGACATCCCCCTGCCTGTGTGGAGGCAGAAGACGGGACAAGCAGCTCCACGTGGGCCTGAACCCTGAAAGGCTGTGATCCCAGCAAGGGCGAAGGGGGAGGAGTTCTGCAGGTTAACGGGGTTCGCCTGATACTCCACCCACTCTGTCTGCCCTCAAGCCAGGAGATGGCTAGGCAAAGAGGGCCATGTTTCTTGATGCTTTAGGGCCGACCCAGTAACCTAGAGCGACACTGCTTTGTCGGGAGACACTCCCTTCCATAATGCCGAGCCCCCTTCTGTAGCTGGTTCTTTTTCATCATCGGGGTCTGAGTCTTGGTCTGAATCCTCAGTCCTCCTGAGCTGCCAGCTGTGTTCCATTTTCATCACACATCCAGGTGATGTGAAGGTTTCGGAAAAGCTGCCAGGCCCCCAGCCTGACCTTCAAAAGCAGTGACTCTGAGGCAGGCAGGGCTGAGGGACGTCTTCTCTCCAGCCAGCAGGGTCCTTCTCCGTCAGGGCCTGACCACCCCCGCCCCAGGAGGGACCCCGCTCCTGACCACACGCTGGTCGCACACTCCCACTGCCCACCGCCCCTCCTCTCCTGCCCTCTCCCGTTCGCCTCTCATGCTCCCGCCGCTCCACCCGCCAAGGGACCGGAGAGCTGATGACCCTGCCTCTTTTCCTGCCCTCCCCTCCCTCTCCCGTCCCCCTTCCCTCTGTCCTTCCAGTGAGTCCCACTGCGGCCACCACGCCAAGAATCACCCGCTCCAACAGCATCCCCACCCACGAGGCGGCCTTCGAGCTGTACAGCGGCTCCCAAATGGGGAGCACCCTGTCCCTGGCCGAGAGACCCAAGGGGATGATTCGGTCAGGATCCTTCCGAGACCCCACGGACGATGGTGAGACTTCATGCCAGCGCGGTTCACGCTCATTCCGGCTCTGCTGGGTCCCCTCACCCACCACCACCGCCACCCCCAGACACACGTATATGATTCACAGAACATCGAGTTGGGCCATTTCAGTTCTTTCTTCCCATATCTTTGAAGGGTCTGGGGGCCCAGAAACCTTGGGTGGCACCGTCGAGCACTGGGCCTTTGGGATGGAGCATCTGTCACTGGGGCTGGGGGAGGGAACTCGAGCATGGAAGGTTAAATGGTGCCCCTCAGGATGCTCTGAAAACCGCAGCTTCTCTCCTGCTCATTCTAGCGGTAGTCTTTCCTCCCCACAGTCTCTCATGATATATGAAAAGATAAAAGGACGTAGCTCTTAAATCCTTACAAAGAATTAGGCATCTCATTCCTCTTTCAAGAATGTTCCAAAGATTAGCCTCGGGGAGGGCCATCTGATGGTCGGTGGTGATCTGGGTGTTAGTGTTGATCAGAGCTGGAGGACCAGGCTTATGGCAGATCAGATCTCCTGTTATTGTTTTCCAGATGCTCATTCCAGGAGCATTCCTTTGCAGGCGTGCTTCAGTTCTCTCCGTAGGCTTGATTGAATAATTAGAACGAGTATTCCTCACTTAAATATTGTTTTCATCTGAATGCTCCCCAAGATCCCAGGCGAGTCCCCCAGTGCTGAGAGGAGAGGGGCAGGGAGAATTGCAGTGTTTGTTCTGAGCAGCTCTGATGAGGAACTCCCCTCTTCTGCAGCTAAAGTACTCTCCTGACTGGGACGATAAGATGACGACCATCCTTGGAAACCTCCTCTCCCTCTCCAAAACCCCGTGCCCCTGAGCAAGGCAGTGCCATCCCCAGGCTGCCAGGGAAAGCAGGCTGAAAGAGGAGGCTCTCTCCACTCGGGCTGCGTCTCCTCGGCAGATACCCGCCTGCTTTGGGCTGCCGTGATACCAGTTGGGCTCCCTGTTCTGTTCTTTCCGTTGGCTCCAGATGCCCTCCAGAATCAGAATCCAAACTCCTGCCTTAGGGCTCTTCCCAGGAACCCCTTGTCTCTGGAACCCTCGGTTAACTCTTTGTTTTCTCCTTCTCTTTCAGTTCATGGCTCAGTGCTGTCCCTGGCCTCCAGTGCCTCCTCCACTTACTCCTCAGTAAGAGCATTAACTTCTCTTCCCCCATCACGTTCCCCCCATTCCGTGCTCTCTAGAACCTCCCCTGGTTGGGTAACTGGGTGGGGGATGGGACACCGCCATCTCTTCCTGACACCTTATAGATCTGGGGTGGGGCCTGGGGAAGGTGCCTAGAGCTTGGAGCACTCAGCTGGGTGCCTCGGGTCCTCAGTGGTCCTTCTGGTCTTACCACCAACTCCTGAGCAACCCCTGCTTTGAAACACGGAGAATCCCCTTGTTAAAGAGCCCTTTCCGTGCCATGGCAAGTGGGAAGCATTTGTGGCAAGTGAGATGAGTAGGTTTCTAAGGTTCCAGAGCCCTAACAGTGTACAGGATTGACCAAGTGTTCATTGTGGGGCACCGGCCGCAGCATTTGGCTATTAGGTATTCCTTGATTCTTAGATTCGTTTTGCCCCTAAGTCTTCACTCCAAGTTGCTGGCAAAAATAGTTTTCAGACCGACCGAAGTTTCATTTCCTAGCCTTCTTGGCAGTGACTAAGTTGGCTGGAGATGAGCTCCAGAGCAATCTTTTATTGAAACCCTAGTATAGATCTGAGCTGAGTCTCACGAGGAGCCAGGGCCAGGAAACGAGAGTTTCAGCCTTTCTGCACCTCCGCGTCACGCTCCCGCACGCTCTCTCCCCTGCCACTGGGACTGGCTTCCTCCCTCCATAGTAACTGCTTCCTTTCTCTCTCTCTCTCCTCTGTGCTCCCTGCTTCAGGCTGAGGAGAGGATGCAGTCCGAGGTAGGGTGCAGAAGCCTTCGTCTCTGCTTGTTAACGCCACTACACCCCGTTTTCCTTCCAGATCTTCTGTGTCTTTTGCCACCAGTAGTTTGTATTTCTCTTCCTTTCACAGCAAATCCGGAAACTTCGTAGGGAACTGGAATCGTCCCAGGAAAAAGTGGCCACCCTGACGTCTCAGCTTTCTGCCAATGTGAGTGCGTGAAGTAGGGAAAGACCCAGGTCGTCATTTGGGCCAAAGTTCAGCCCAAGAAGGAAAATTATCTGATAAAGTATCCCCTGGGGTTAGACTCCAAGGGAGTGGGTCCTCCTCACAGCTCTACAGTAGAGGATTTGAGGATTGTCCTTCCCCTTCTCCGAGCCTCAATTCTTGTAAGGAACTGTTTTGCCTGCACTCTAATTAATAGGTATGGATGAGTTCATGTCTGATGGTCTTTGAACTCCCCAGAGAGAAAAGAGGATTGATGATCAGTGGTCCTGCATGGAGGTGGAAACAACCTTGCTGCTGGCCACAGACAAAAGTAGTTACGGATTATAATTATAGAGCCCTTTTCCACCCCCCTGGGTGTGTTCATGGCTCTGTTCATGCCACGTCATTGGGCAGGCACAAAATTGGTCATTAGAATTCTGTCTGGTGACCACAGCACTACCTAGAAACCGAACTCCTTCATTCCCAACTGCCTTTTCCTAGTAGTCTCCTTGGGCAGTTGGCAGAAACCATCTGAGCTTTAGGTTAAGAGACAGAGTTCTTCATTTCTGCACTCAGACTGCCCTCAGTACATCCACTTAGAATGAGTCTCTTTCTTTAGGCCTTAGTTTTTCTACTCTGGGAGATGGGGAGAAATAAAGCCACCTCCTCCAACTAGGCTATGGTCGTTTCCCTGCGACTGAGTTGCAAACAGAGAACATAAGAGCCCTTTTCCCCCCAAAGCTGTAAACAACAGCTGAGCCGGATCTGCAGGAGCTTTCCAAGTGTTTGCACACAAGTAACCGTGTCTGCAATTTCCGCAGCAGTTTCTGGTTTTCTCTCTGCTCTTCCTCTCTGGGGAACCCAGCTGTCAGGCCTGGGGTCTATCCCTTGGAATTAGGTAGAAGAAGCGCCACCAAGATTTTGCGTGTTTCCAATCTATTTCAGCAGCAGTTCCCTCACCACACTGGTTGTGTTCTTTATTCTCTTTTCCCAAACCCACAGTTCATAAGTTATGTACTTAGCAGTTTGTTTGAAGCTCATATCTAGCACTTTTTTCCACTCTTGGGGACCCATAAGAGTTGTAGCATAAACAAGAACCATCTTTCCTCTCCCTTGTGCCATAGCCACCAAGGCCAGTTGCCTGGGTCACGTCCTGCTTACCCCAGGAAATTCGCGTCTGGGCGATGCTGGGGGGAGAGGCGCCAGGGAGGCCGAGAACATTATTATGTCTGATTCACTTACACTGCAGTCTGTCAGCCATCGTGCTGTCAAGGCTGGGCCAGAGCCAAGCAAATGAATTTAGAGGGTGATTTTTCTTAGAACAGGAAGTTCCATTCGGCTAAGCGAGAATAAACTAAACACCCAGACGCGGTGGCTTCTCAACCTTAAAGGCAGATTTTTGCTGAGGGTCAGAACCCTGCCCTCAAGCAGGAGATGTGATGTCAGGACTCTGGGAAGGCTCCACAGCTCCCTTCAGGATCCCCCGATTCTCAACCAAACTTCTGTCATGTTCCACGGAACCTCCTAGCTACTGAAGCTGAGGGCGCAGCCCTGCACGGGAGGGGTCCGGAGTATGTCACCCGCTCACACGCTAGCCTCGCTGCAGCGCCACCGCTGAGCCCTGAGGCCTTCCACGCACCCGAGTCTGCAGAGGGGATTGCGGGAAGGTTCACGGGAGGGAGAGGAAATGTAGCAGAGAGGGGAGGAAACCTAGCCAGCGCAAGAGGACGCCCCAGGTGAGAAAAGGCAACACAGGAAAGCACGTGGGTTCTCAGTGCTCTCGGGAGTAGATTTCCAAGGACTGCAGGCGGTCTGTGCACAGACACGTGGGGATGGAGAGAAGCAAACATGAGGAGACCTGAGGCCAAGAAGACAAGTTCCCTGTCCAGTAGGTGAAGTGAAACTGCTCAGGTCATGACCGGTACCTGCTACGGAGCCCGGGTCCGGACAGATTTATAGTGAAAGTAGAAGAGGAGGCTCAGAGGGAGCTGGCGGGATTGCCTCCACCCTGAGGCACTTGGCGCAGTGAGTGAAAAGTCGAGTTGACCCGGCAGAGAGGGAGGACCATGGGCAGCAGGAACAGTGAGAGTGTCCCAGACGTCCTGGAGCGCTGGGTGAGGGAGCTGCCCAGAATCTGTCCATCACTTCGTGATCGGGTCACCAGCTCACTCAGACGCTCCGACAATGGCTGTTTCTCCACCCCCAAGTGCTCTCCTCTCTAGCCCCTCACTCCCTTCACCTTGCCTAGACATCTCGCAGCCACTTGGCCAGCTAGAGTTCAAGCCGTGCTCCAAGTGGCCTCGGCTTCGCTGCACCTTTCCAGCCTGCTGGTTATCCAGAGAGCCCTTCGGCGTCCTTCACGGCTCGTGAAGCAGACCTGACACCTAGTGGCCACACCGTGGACTGCCCCCGAGCTTTCGGGAGCTGCTCCTCTCCAGCCCTGCAAAGTAGAGCCCGAAGAAACCAGGAACGGGGAGCAGCTCCAAAGCAAGAATGAGTTCAGCAACAGAGGGCCACCTGGAGCAGGGCTGGAAGGGATGTACCCAACGGTTTCCACTGGGGGTTATTGGGCAGCCCACGTTGAAGGAGTTAAACCCAAACAATAGCAGTGACCCCAGTGGCACGGCCTTCCAACCAAGCCCGCCACCCACATACTGCACGCGTGGAGTAGAGGCACAGTCCCCCCTCTGATAGATGACAGGTGCTAGATCTCAAGCCCCCAGGAGCCTCCAAAAACATGCCCTACCCTCACACTGGCTTCCTTATTCAAGAAGCTGATTCCTGCCGGAAAGTGTTGTGGAATCCCACTTGTCTGCTCAGGGAAGTCACTATTTTAAAACCATCAAGAGGTTTGCTGGCATTGGTCAGCTCGGAGGCACAGAAAACTAGTTAAAACGACTTCCCGTTGTCAGTTGTTTCCTTTCCCCCAGCCACTTAGGAGCCTCTTCATGTGTTTGTCTCAGGCTAATCTGGTGGCTGCCTTCGAGCAGAGCCTGGTGAACATGACCTCCCGCCTGCGGCACCTGGCGGAGACCGCGGAGGAGAAGGTGAGAGTGAGCCCGGGGCGGGGGGCACGGGTGCAGCCGGGGTTCTCGCTGGGGAGCGCCAGGTTCTCCTGCCCTCGCGGCACCCCCGCTCCTCAGCCTCCCCCTCGGTACTTTGCACACATCTTCCTTGTCCTAGTTCTCTGCCCTTCTCGGTCAAGTTTGGGAGGATCCCCGCTCCTAGCCCACTGCCAGCCTCCTACATCGTAAGTGCTCCTGCTAATCCCAACTAATGACGTTATTTTCGTTTCTCTCTTAGGACACTGAGCTGCTGGATTTGCGAGAAACCATAGACTTTCTGAAGAAAAAGAACTCTGAGGCCCAGGCAGTCATTCAGGGAGCCCTTAATGCCTCCGAAACCACACCCAAAGGTAGTACATCCAGCCACAGTCTGACAGAGAACAGCAACGGGGTGAAAGGAAGATCACTGCAGATTTGTATCTGGGCCTACAGTATGTCAGGCCCTGTATCAAACTTCTAGAAAGCGAGGGCCCTTAGGTGCCCTTTAGTGTGGTGTCTGCACTGGTCAGTGAGGAGCGCCAGGGGCACGACCCCACCATCCCAGAGCATGACGGTAAATACAGGAGCCCTGCGATCCCCAGGGGCCCCTCCCCAACCTTTGGGTCAGAGCCAAAGCGCTGTCAAAGGCAAACATTGAAACAGCACTTTACATCTTCATACCAATGTGCCGTGTGTCCACACACATACACGTAATCCTGTTTGACCCTCACTTCAGTTCTCCAGGGGGATGCAGTCTACTCTGCAAACGAGACAGCCAAAGTCCACGTGGCTACACTGGGCCCAAAGGGCAAATTAGCCGTGGCGCTTGGCAACCACTCAGGCTTTGCTACGGGAAGTCAAAACGAGTGGCAGTCTGATGCCACGACAACCTGCGATCTCTAACTCCAGGCAGGCCCTCGGGGTGGCTTGGCTGTCCTCTTAGCTGTCCATAGTCCCTTTTCTTTTTCATTCCTCTATCAGCAGTTCCCAACTTTCTTCATCTTTCTCAAGCCCCTCATCCCACCACTGACCTGCCTCACTCTGAACATGGCCTTTGTCCCCTCCTCGGTTAAGAAACTGAAGATCGTCTAGTGAGAACTCCGTTGACTTTTCCCCACTCCCTCAGTTCGTATTCACCCAATCCTTACTTATTTATCTTCTAGTTTGTAAGAAGGAGCTGTCCCTTCTGGCCCTTATCTAACGCTTTGGGCTGCTCCCCTAGCAATTAGGCCCCTCCACACACACACACTCTCTCTTCCACCTCTCCAACCCCTGGTTCTCCGTTCACTCCTCCCCTGCTTATAAACCTGCGAAATCTCTTCTGTCTTGAAGGGGGAAGTACATCCACCTGTGTTCTTTCTAAGCATAACCTTATCTCTCTCCTTCCTTCACGGTCAGCCCCCCTTTCCGCCTCCCTTTTACCCCTCACTTCACTATAATTATGCTTCTGTCATCATCACCTGCCAAAGCCACTGTCACTAGCCTCACAAGTGACCCCCATTTTTCCAAAACCCAACTTAAAATTTTTAGTACTTACTTGACTTATGTAAAGCGGAGATAATAACACCTAACCAGAAATTCGTTGTATTCAATCAGTGAATATATGTGGACATTGACCACAATGCCAGGCACATGATAGGTACTCAAAAAATGCCTCCCTGCCAGGCACAGTGGCTCACGCCTGTAATCCTAGCAGTCTGGGAGGCCGAGGAGGGAAGATTGCTTGAAGCCAGGAGTTCGAGACCAGCCTGAGCAGCAGCGAGACTCCTGTCTCAAAAACAAAAAAAAGAAAAGAAAAGAAAAGACATGTCTAAGGATGTCAAGCATCTTTTCATGTGCTTATTTGCTATCTGTATGTCTTAATGAGGAAATGTCTGTTCACACCCTTGGCCCTTTTTTTTTTTATTTTTTGAGATAGAGTCTGGCTCTGTCGCCCTGGCTAGAGTGCAGTGACATCATTATAGCTCACGGCAACCTCCATCTCCTGGGATCAAGTGATCCTTCCTGCCTTGGCCTCCCAGAGTAGCTGGGACTACAGGTACATGCCACCACACCCAGCTATTTTTTGTAGAGAAAGAGCCTCGCACTTGATCACGCTGGTCTCAAACTCCTGAGCTCAGGCAATCCTCCTGCCTCGGCCTCCCAGAGTGCTAAGATTACAGGCGTGAGCCACCACACCTGGCCTCTTGGCCCATTTTTTCATCAGAGTATTTGTCTTTTATTGTTTAGCTTTAAGAGTTCCTTATATATTCTGGATACTAGACCCTTATCAAATATATGATTGGCAAATATTTTCTCCCATTCTGTGGTTTTCCTTTTCACTTTCTTGAAAGTATCCTTTGAAGAACAAAAGTTTTCCATTTTGATGAAGTATAATTTATCTTTTTTTCCTTTGGTTGCTTGCGCTTTAGGCATTATAGTTGAGAAACTATTGCTTAATCCAAGGTCATGAAGATTTACTACTATGTTTCCTTCTAAAAGTTTTTATACTTTTGGATCTTTGTTCCATTTTGAGTAAATTTTTATGTATGGTGTGAGGTAGGGGGTCCAACTTCATTCTTTTACATGTGGCTATCCGCTTGTCCCAGCACCATTTGTTGAAATGCCTATTTTTCTCCACTGAATTGTCTTGGCACCATTTAGGAAATCAATTGACCATAAATGGATGGGTTTATTTCTGGACTCTGAGTTCTGTTCCATTCATCTGTATGTCTCTCCTTAGCCAGTAGTACCACACTGTCTTGATTACTGTAGCTCTGTAGTAAGTTTTGAAACTGAGAACTCTGTTCTTTTCCAAGATTGTTTTTGGCTACTCTGTGCCCTTTGCATTTCCAAATGAATTTTAGGATTAGTTTGTCAATCTCTGCAAAAAAGACAGCTGTAATTTTGATAGGGATTACCCTGAATCTGTATATCAGTTTGAAGAGTATTGCCTCTTAACAAGATTAAGTCTTCCAATCCATGAAGAGGATGCCTTTATTTAAATATTCTTTCATTTCTTTCAGTGATATTTTGCTGTTTTCAGCATTCAGGTCTTGCATTGCTTTCACTAAACTTATTTTTTGATGCTCTTGTAAATGGAATTGTTTTCTTAATTTCCTTGTTGGGTTATTCATTACTAGTGTATGGAAATACAATTAATTTTTTGTATTGATCTTTATCCCGGAAACTTGCTAAGCTCATTCATTAGCTCGATCATTTTTACAATCTCATCTTAATCTGTATTTCTATCCAGATCAGGCTCCAGACCTCTATTTCCAGCCACTTTTGGATGTTTTCATTTAGTTGACCTCATAGATATCTCTAACTTAACATGTCCAAAATTAAAAGTCATGCCCTCCACCCCACTTTACACAAACCAACCCTTTCTACAGTTTTGCCCATCTCAGGTATTATCATCTGCCTGGTAACCCAAGCCACTAATGTGAGAGTCATTTTTGACTACTCACCATTGCACCCTGTATAAGTTACTTCTGCCTCCTATATAGATCTCAATTCTACCCTCCTCTGTATCATCATTACTCTGGCCCAGGTTTTCATCGTTCTTCTCCTGGATTATTGCAATAATTTCCTAATTGGTCTGGCCTTGCTCCCCTCCTTCCTTTCTGCTTCCCTTAGAGTAATCCAATTATGTCAGTTAAGATCAGAAATCATTCCAATTTGACTATTACATGAAAAGAATTACTGTTAGTTTTCTTAGGTGTGATAATAATAGTGTGGGAGAATGTCCTTATTTTCTCAGAAGGTGCATTCTGAAGTATTTAGTGGTAAAATGCCATGTCTTCTGCAATTTATTTTCAAATATTCAAGAAAATGTTGGGGGGAGGAGAGAAAGCGTGGAAATATAACAAAATAGTAACAATTGTTGAATTAGGTGGAAGGCCTATGGGTGTCCATTGCACTGTGCTTTAAGTTTTTCTGTGTGTTTGAAACATTTCAGAAGAACAAGTTAAAGGATAAAAGGATACATTCCAAACCCTTTAGCATGGCATACTATCCTGCTGCTCTAGGGCATGCCTTTCTTTCTAGCCTCATCTTCTATCGGTTCTCCTCTGGCATTCTCCTCTCGCACACTCTATTCCATCTATGATAATAATATCAGCCAGTATTTATTGAGCACTTGCTGTATGCTAGATACTTTTCTAAGCATTTTATTTATGTTAATTCAGTTATTCCCATTAACAACCCAGTAAAGTATCTTGTATAGATGAGGAGACTAAGACCAGAGAAAATAAGTAACTTGCACAAACACAGTTCATAAGTGATGGATCTGTGATATTCAGCTATTTCTAGTTTCCCAAGGAGACTTTGCTCTTCAGATACATATTTGCTGAATGAACAAATTGTGGCTTTTTGCTTTGAGTTTTCATGTCATCCTCAGTTCATGTTGGTCAACTTGGTCAGGCTCAACTTGGTCAGGAGGATGTCTAGGAGCATTGTAAGAGCTAATGCTTAAGCAATGACGCCTAACTCTGTTTTATTTTTATTTTATTTTATTTGTAAATAGGCAATAAATGTACATGGTACAAAATTCAAAACTCACAAAAGATTTCCTGACTTTTTGAAGATTATTTGATTCTATAACATATCCTTTGCTCTTAATAGTACTGTAACGTGTATTTTTTAAAATTTAATTGATAGTCTCCCAACTAATCAAAACCTCCAGATAACTGCTGATAGACAGATATGCACTTATTCTGCTACCCTTCATTTTGTTTTTAATTAACAAATTTCAACTAAACTATTTTTATCATAAAAACAATAATGTTCAGGGGAGAAATGTAAAGTAGAGATTGGCAAACCATAGTCCATCAGCCGAATCTGGGTCACCACCTGTTTTCATATAAAGATTTATTGGCACACAGCCACATTCATTAATTTACATATTGTCTATATGTAAATGATATGACTTAATGCTTTTAATGCTGCAGCAGCGGAGCTAAGTAGTTGTGACAGACCGTGTGGCCACAAAGCCTGAACTATTCAGCATCTGGCCCTTGACAGGAAATGTTTGCCAGACGTGGCGATAAACTACATACAAAAGGGTATGTGGCAAAATATAAAATCCCTCTCCCTGAATTACCCCTCCACATTCCACTCCCCAGAGGTTAAATACTGCTGATAGTGATTATAAATCTTTCCAGAAATAATTATCTGCGTATATACAGGCAAGCATATATGGATACACATACGCATTTTTATGCACATGAAAAATTTTTTACTTCGACTCAGCATATTCTCTTGAGAATCTTACATACTTTTTAATATAACTGAATTACTCTGTAATATCATAAGCTTGGTTTGATGATCATTGAATAAAGAATTTTCCATATGCCATATGAGCTTTGGTAGTTCCATCATCAGATCCGAGGATCTTGTTTTCCCTGGAGTATCAGGGGAAAATAAGGGTCTAAAGACCCGTTTCTGGTCATGGAGAGAGTGAGCAAAATAACCGAATACCACCCACATCTCCTTCGTTTAACGTCTTGTTTCCAGGAGAACAGCTGCACAGAGCCACCTAACTTGTCCCTGCCTCTAGTCTAGTTTCCCTCCACTTTGTCTTTCTCGTTATTCATACAGTAAGCTCTATTTTAAAAAATCATCTGGCATCATCCTACAATTATGCAAGATGATAACCTCTTAGAGGAGACCGGGTTAAAGGTACAGAGGGTCTCTCTGTATATTTCTTTGCAATTTCCTGTGAATCTGTTAAGTATTTCAAAATAAAAAGAGTTTTGCAAATCTTATGCTATTAGCCCCTGCTTCAGAATCTCTGCTGCCCACTGCCTGTGGCACAAAGGCACCTTTCCTTTCAAAGGCGTTCAGAGCTCTCCCTAATACGGCTGAGCCTGAACTTCACCCTCGCCTCTTTCTGTCCCGCTTCCATCCCAGACTGCCCGCAGTTCCTTGGAGCAAAGGCAGGTCCCTGCACAGTGCCTTTGCATGTCTCTGTTCTCCAGCCCTGCCTACTCTTCCCAGTGTTCCCAGCTGAAGAACTTCTTTCCAAACTCAGACATCTCCTTTGTTAACCCTTCCCTTCTCTGTTATAGAAAAGTGGATCATTTTGTGCTGTCACAAACCTCCTCAGAAAGCTGAGGAAATTTTCTGCCCATCAGATGAGAAAACTGATGCTTGTGCAGGTTAAACGCAGGGGACATGGCTAGTTATTCCTGGCCTTGGACCACTAGGTAGCCAAGTATTGCTGGAAAAATCATGAAAAATGGTAGGTTGATGTCTCTGTAAAACCATAGAGGGCTGGCTTTAGTGAAGTCCTTCTCAGACCTATTTAAGGTGAGTTCATGACGTTGTGCCACTT